GTGCGTAAACAAAGGTATATGCCAGAATCCTAAACAATAGGTTAAAAATCATTAGTGAGGGACACCCATTAAATGAACAACAGATTCACAATAAGGCCATTCACACTCTGATAATATCTTTATTGAGACAGATTATTGAAAAGAGAAGATAATATAATTTGAAAACCCATCTTCTCTTCATAGACATTGAGAAGGCTTTTGATAGAGTTGTAAGAAAAAGTTATGATAAATATTAGAGCCCAGAGGATACTTTAAGCAAATAATAACAAGTATAAAGTCATATAATAGAACGGAGGTTGTTATAAGTATGATACACCTAAAGGGCAAAACATTTGAAGTAAATCAAGGAGTACAATCAGAGTGTAGTTTGTCCCCAATGCTTTTGAATATATATTTAGACAATGCTCTTAGAGTGTGGAAAAGAGAATGTTCAGATGGAATCTGTTTTGGAAATGGAAATTATTTAAATACTCTGTTACTTGCAAACGACCAGGTTTAATTGCTAGAAATGAAATGAACTCCAGAAAAATGTTCATATATTGAGTAATACCTTGGAAAATTATAACCACAAATTCTCTATAAAAAAAATACTGACTTTCCAAGGAAAGTTCTCTGTAAGATCAAAAATATGTATTTTCAATTCAATGTTGAAACAAGTAAGACACTACACTACTTCGCGACGACTTTAGCTACAATTATGAGAACGACATTGACATCAAACTTCATCAGTTCCAACAAATGTGTGGTACAATAAGATAGACACTATCAAAGAAGACAAGAAGATTGATTGATTGTTAATGATTCCGGGCGTGTCAACTACTAGGGCCATTAGTCCCATAAGTGTATAACATGTTTTTGCTCGGGAGGTGGTGGCCTTCCCCCACTGTATGGGGAGATTCGGCATCGACCCACCGTCGGCTAGTGGGGTTTTCCCCAACTAGGTATTTCCCACCGGCGGGACACTGCCCCAACCGGGACAAGCTCTAAGCTCCCGACCGGTCTCCTGGTATGTGTATTCAAGGTAGTGCATGATAGTGTAAGTGTGTAAAGGATGAGGATAGGACAAGGAAGAGGTAGGAAAAAGATCGTCCGCCGCCCGTTTGTTAGGCTAATGCTCCGGCATTCTCCTGGTGTTGATCGGAGAAACCACGGAAAACTTCCGATCAGAGCAGCCGGTCACTAGAGTTCTCCTCCAGACAGTGACTGAATTCAAACTAGCGGACAAGCTAGTGTCGAAAATCCTGCCACCGTCAGGCCTCGAACCTAGGACCTCCCGGTCAGAGGGACTGCAGTGACAGTTGATGTCCAGCGCCATCTCTCCCGGTAAGACAAGAAGAGAGATGGAACTAAAAAAAGTACAAAGTGATGGCAATACCAGTTTTACTGGAGAGAATGAGTCATGGGTGTTGAGGAGAAAGAAAAGTAGTAATGTATAAGATTCCAAAATGAGATTTCTGAAATTCAGTACAAGGTTGTAGCCTCCTAGGTCAGGTCAAAAACAAAAGCACCCCAAAAGACCTAAACATTCTCTCCAT